CAGCACAGGCAAGAACCACCAGAGGCAATGACTCCATAATGCAACTGATTTTGAGTTAAGGTTCAGCCGTTCCCCGTATGGTGGCCTCCCAATTCTGTCACAGCTTCAGTCACACTAAGATGAAGTCAGGATGACCTTTCTTCTTTCCTGGACTCAGTTATTGTCTTAAAGTGCCTCTTCCGAGTACATGGTAAAGGGTGTGTGAGGAGGCAGACAACACCTGTGTGAAGTGCCAATGGGGGCCAAAGAGATGGTCCGATCCCCTGGAACTCGAGTTACAGATGGCTGTGAGCTCAGGGTGGTGGGAACTGAACCTGGGTCCTCTAAAGAGCAGGAAGAGCCCTCATAATCACAGAGCCATCTCTCCAGCCTCCAAACCTTTCTTCAGGTACAATATTCTCCTCTCCTTCTATCCAACAATAGACCATCACACCTCAGTGAGGTGGGAGGCTCTGCAAAGCTTTCCTGGTTATTCCAACACCACACAGCCCCCACACTAACACCATCAATCATAATATACATTTTCACAGTCCTTTCAAAGAACCTGTTCATATCACAAAGTTTGTTTTCTTTTCATGTCATTATTTTGTTGCTACATGCAACTGGCGTCAGGGACCGCAACTGTCCCCTAGGCACCATGGCACAGGTTAAGCGACTACATTTGTGAGGTGAAGGTTGCATCCTCCTTATCGAAAACTGGATCAGTGCTGTGGATTAGGCTCACTGTCAAACAAAAGCTGATTGGCCGAGAGCTGGACAAGAAGAGACCGGGCCCAAGAGCCAGACTAGGAGAATTCTGGGAAGACGAAGGACGGAGTGAGTCAGAGTCGGCTGCAAATGCAGAGAGGCAAGATGGGGATGCTGAACTGAGAAACGGTGCCAAGCCACGTGGCCACAGATTGTTAAGAATTATCGGTTGATTTAAGTGTAACAATTAGCTAGTAAGAAGCTGAGCTATTGGCTGAACATCTGTAAGTAATATAAGCCTCTGTGTGGTAATTTGGAAGCGGCTGCTGGGTGTTTGGGACAGAGCGGCTCCATGACAGCCAATGTCCACTTACAGATCAGGGTGCTTTAGATCTCACATTTTTAGCATTTTCATATACATAATGGGGTATCTTGGAAACAGATTCCAAATCTAAACAAAATAATTTTTTATGTTTCACATATACGTTAATATATATAGCATGATGAAAATTGTATAAAATAGTTTCAGTAACTTAATGCATGAAATAAAGTTTCAAAATGTGGGATTTTACCATGGTCATTATGATGGTGCTCAGAGTTGTCTGAATTTGGAGCTTTCAGGTACCCAGAGTGGGAACACTTAACCTGTACTGCAAATAAAGGGTACACGAGGCCCTTCCCGAGTCCTAATCACTACCTGTCAGACCTTAATTTATAGAGCTGCTACTCACGACAGAAACCTTCTCACCTTCCCCAAAGACTTACATTCTGTTTAATCACCTTTGTTATTGATGAAGATGAAATGGAATTAATATTCTCACACCTATGTGGATTATGAACCTTAGAGTCCACTGCTGTTTGTATGTATCATGCCTTTAATGACCTCTACACTAGACAGGTTTGATCCCTTTTATGGCATAGACAATGATGTGATGACATCACTATGAAAATTGCCACAGCACAACTTCCCAGTGTATTTCAGATAGCGCAGAAAAGACAATTTCACATTGGTTTACGAAATTATTATAAAGAAAGTTGAGCTGATTAAAATTAAGCCCAAACACAAATATTCCAAGTTCCTATCTATGAGCAAAAACTGGGGTAGCTATAAACAGATTCTCAAGACAACTGTTGTAAAAGTTAATGGAAACCAAACCAAAACAAATTCCAAAGGCAGGCCATTTCTGGATGCTTTCCTTACTTTCTCCATTGAATTTTCACACTTACTTTTTTCCTTCATAAAACATTAACTTTTTTTTTATAGTAACAGATACAAAGAAAATGTGTTGCTCAAATGTTAAAGAGAATCATTTAGCAGAGTGACAATTAGAAATATGTTCGCGTTCTGAGTTCTAGCTTAGTTAATGAGTCAGTGAACAGATAAACATTTGTAAGTCACACAACTGAAGCATATTATAAACACTATTGTTTGGAGTTTACAATCTTCAAAATGCATTTATTTTAGTAATTTTTGGATGTTAAAAATGAGGCTCACTTATTTACTCATTATCTGGATGATAATCACAAAACATTATGGTTTATATTATTTAAATTAATTTTTAGAATATTCCCATCAGAAACTATTACAAAGGAATAAACACCTTCATTGAAGTGAATATAACATATTTTGGATATTTCTTTGATAGTATGCACTGACTGCATTTTCAACTATAAAGCAACTCGATTTCACTGTAATTACTGCTTCTCCCAGAGAAATATCTCTCTCCTCATCCTGGCGCACGAGAACATGCTCCACAGCACAATTCCCGACTACTAAAAATTCAACACAGAGAATGACTTACCCTCTCAGCACAGTGCCGTATACTGCTGTAGTAAAGTGAAAAGAAAAGGAATCCACCTAAGTGTAAAGAGGAACGAAACCAGTCTGCTGTAGATGTGAAATTCATCTAGCTCTCACGGTTAGCAAGGGGAGCAGGGGTACATTAGGAGAATGCAGTGGATGTGATCACAGGAAAACAGCACTCTTTTCTATGGTATGGCGAGTAAAACGCATGCCAAGGACTAAGCATTAGGAATGCATTTATAAGAATAAAGACAGAAGGTACTGAATGCCAGGAATGACAGAACTTAGGCTGTGATGCTAATGACTGTCAGAGATGACGGATAAATTACTGAACCTCTGTAGCCGATCCTGGATTTCTTCTGAACACATACCGCAGAGAGCAAATACCAATCACTGGAGGCTGGCATTAACCTTGAGAGCTATTTATTGCTCCTGCTCTCAGTGATGTTGTTCAAGTAAAATCTTGCCGGCTAGCAAACACACATCACTGCTACGACTAATCAAGCAAAGAATGGCTTTCAAAAACATGCCAAATTATGAAACATATTAAAAAGGACAATAAAAACAATATTACAACAGATGATATTATGATTCAGAAAGGGGAACAAAATTGAATGACATTGCCATCTGCAGTCTAGAATGGTTTTGATTCTGATGATTTAACAAGTCACCACTGAAAATACAAAATTAAAGCAATGGTTCACCAAATGTAGCATAGCAAAAATTAAAGATCATTATAGGGTTGGGAGATTTTAACTTTATGGCCTGCTTGAATAACATGGTTAATTCAAGGCTACCCTGGAAAATAGTCATACCCTGTCTCAAAATAAGAAGTAAAAAGAGGGTTTGGGATTTAATCAGTGGGAGAGCATGCTCCTGACACATGGGGAGCCTAGGTTTTACCGCCAGGACTTGTAGCAGGGAAATGACAGAGCATATTACAGATAATTCACAAATTAGTAAAGTAATTTGTATATTACTTAAGATTTATAGCCATAGATGCCTAATAGAAAAAAAAAAAACCCAAAGAGCAGCTACTATAGAGAATTTGATGAAATGTTGATACATAATTCCTTAAAAATATGAAAAAAATTTGCAAATTTTCTCAAAATACATGAGCAACAGTTTTTTATATTTTTAGTTGTGTAGCTTGGTTCACCTCTAGCTTGTCTAAACTCAAATGTTCGTTAAGTTTTACAAATTTCTACGGTGTGATTTGGTACATATTTATTTAAGTCAGGCAAAAGTATAGTGGTACGTATGGCTTAGTCATTATTATTTTAATTTCTAGAAAACAGTATCCCTCCCTGACATTTTAAGGAAGTAAATGCAATTGTTGAAGAACGTTAAAACAGCACTGCAGAGGTGGCTTTGCTGTAATTCTGTATTTTCCAACCTCCTCACAAGGGGGAATCAATACTCAAACATTATCAGTCCAAGGCTGGGTAATGAGAAACCGCAGTCAAAAGCAGAGGGTAACAATGGAACCGGCAGGTAGGTGTGACAAAGAATCCTGCTCCAGCACACAGTGTGACCTACTACTTCCAGCAACTAAAATCTGCATCTGTTGTCCACATTCCCCTCCTCATCCCACTCAACCTCACCCGAGACATGGTCCCCATGACCACTCAACCTCACCCGAGGCGTGGTCCCCATGCCCACTCAACCTCACCCGAGACGTGGTCCCCATGACCACTCAACCTCACCCGAGACGTGGTCCCCATGCCCACTCAACATCACCCGAGACGTGGTCCCCATGACCACTCAACCTCACCCGAGACGTGGTCCCCATGCCCACTCAACCACAGCTGAGGAATAGCACAAATTTTTCAACAGATCTCAAGGTGTGCTACATTCCACATGAAAGGCCGTTTTCAGCTACAAACAATTAAAGCCACACTCTAGGGCCAGGAGGGGTAGCTCAGGGGCTAAGAGCTCTTTTTACTCTTGTAGAGTTCCCTGCACACATCGTGTCTCACAGCCATTGGTAATTCAGTCCCAGGGGACTAGACACCTGCTTCACACACATAAAACCATAATCTGTGAAGTAGGAAGACAAGGACACTACACAAAAATCAGAGGTAAGTTTTCTAAAAGTCCTTTGAAATGACCATTGTAAATCTTTTACCCTTAGCCAACTTTAGTTAAGATTATTGTTGTAGCCAGGTGTGTTGGCTCACCCCTTTAATCCAGCACTTGGAAGGCAGAAGCAGGTGGAGCTCTGTGAATCTGAGGCTAAGCTGGTCTACACAGTGAGGCCATTCTCTGACTAGTCATGACTACGACAAAGGAAATTCTAAATACGAGGTCAAATCATTTTCTACTTAGGTACTTACCTTCAGTAAGGGATGAACCAAGTGCTTCTGGAAACTATCAAAGAATGCTTTCACACAAAACATAGAAATCAATATATAAGCTTTGTGAAAGGAACCTACTGTGGTATTACAGAAAAGGCTAGCTTTCTAGGCTTATAGCAATAACGGTGCAAATGTCTTTAACAACTCCTTACCTGTGTATGCAGTTTTTGCTCTCTAGATACAGCATGCCAGATGCAACATCCAAGGAAAACCTCACGAGTTGCTTGAGCTTTAGTTCATCCTTTCTCTTCCTCAGAAAAGACAGGAAGTCACCTCCTACAAGAGTTGACAAAGAAAAACGGGATTAATTATGATGGGAGCCATATGTCGTATTTCTAGCCCACTAGGAGCCTGACAGTTCTTACACAGAGGACAAAAGACACATGGAAGCTGCACATCCTGGGGACAGAAGCCATCACTTTCCTAGACACGTGTGTTAAGTGTCTCAGCCAAACACTGCCAAGCACAAATACAGTCAGAGACAACCTTGTCCCTTTGCCATTGTGCACACTCTTTTATCTTACTGACATTTTCTAAGAAATTTTACTTGGTCTAATAACAAATAAAATATGGCTTAAACAAAAAAGTCAAGCGATATTAATTTCTAGATGCAGTGACCTTCTAAAAAATTAATACTACTTAAACTGAACCACGTCTGTAAGGACAAGCGCGCACGCGCACACACACACACACACACACACAGGTATACACACACACACAGGTACACACACACGTATACACACACACACACAGGTATACACAACACACACGCACACACACGCACACATACGCACACCATGCTGTGACTCTGGTACAGTTTTGTCATTCACCTACTATGCACGTTTGCATGGAAAGCAGATCCCACTGATGTCTTTCTGGCTGTTGACTCAGCTGCCAACAGCTGAGTCATGTCTACAGCCTCCAATGATGTCTTAGAAAAGCTTTTTAACCATCACAGTCCAAGACAAATACATATAACCCAAACAGTAATTTAAAACTTAAGATTAGTCCTATTTTATGAAGCTAAAAAAAAGTTATAGTGATTTTAACACTTTTTTCCTTATCTCAATAAATCTCAAATCTTGGAAATATGACAGTTAACAGGCAATTTTTATTTTAAATATTTAATTGACATTTAGATTTAATAAAACTTAGAACTTAAAAATAGATTAATGTGCTTAAATTATCCCAAATATTTATTTGTTTAGATTTTATGTATGAGTGCTCTGCATATAACCTATGGGCCAGCAGAGGGCACCAGATCTCATTGCAGATGGCTGTGAGCCACCATGTGGTTGCTGGGAACTGAACTCAGGTCCTCTGGAAGAACAGCCAGTGCTCTTAACCACTGAGTCATCTCTCCAGCCCCTAGCCCAAATATTCTTAGAAGTTTCTGACAACTAAATCAGGCATAAAAATTTAAACTTAAATCAATTAAAATTAAAGTTCAGTACTTAGAAGCACTGACTACATTTCAAGATATATACATTGCCAGGGCTGAGCAGAGCACTGAGTGCATGCAGCTTTATTTACATTATGTGTGCACTGCACTGTTTAGGATCTTTTCAAGACATGCTGGGCCTCACATATGTGGGACCTCATACACACACACAGGGACACACACACACACAGCCTCACACATGCTGGGCACACACGCGCACACACGCACACACGCGCACGCGCGCGCGCACACACACACACACACACACACACACACACACACATGGCCTCACGCACGCTGGGTCCCACACATGTTGGGGCCTCACGGGCTGGGTCATTTGGTAAAGCAGAGCCACGTTATTGTCCTTTCCTCTTCTTGATAAGCCCTTCCCCTGCACAGAAATCCGCCACCTTGCACATTCCAGGCAAACTCTCAGGCCCCATTCATTCGCAAGAGACTGTTAATTTTTTTTTTTTTTTTTTTTTTTTGGAGGTTCATTATGGCATTAAACAGAAAGTAAAGTATGTTTTAACACATGGCCTTAAAACAACCAGTCACCTCCTATCAGGCCTCTGTATTAAATTACAAATTGTAAGGAAGGATTATCCCCTTTTGGCATTCCCTGAACCCCTTTCACACTCTGTTAAAGATTTAGGCTTCCTTAAATGGAAAAACTCTAGAAGAGAAGAGTTAATGGCTTTTTCTTTGGTAAGAACAACTGGAAAATAAATACCACCTAAATCTACTTAAAACCCCCTTTTCTTACCTTAGTCACAAATTAAGTGTTACACATGTTTTGTGGGCCACTTAGAAAATCAATAGGCTTTTTACCTTTTTAAAAATAAACTTAAAAGGCAGATAATTTACCTTTTGTATTCATAGTAAAGATTTGTTTGTATTATTTTAAGTATATATATATGTAATACGTTTGTGTGTGCTCACAGGATTTGGTGAGGCAGTGGCTTTGGCTCAGGAGTGGAGAGGAATCCCATTTTGTCGCTCTGTTAGGATTGAGCATAGGGTCAGGGAAGGAGCTGGGCACAATCTAGAAAGAGCCTATTGCATCAGACTGAGTTGTTCTGGAGGCCTGAGAACTGGGACCAAGCACAAGGCAGGGGTCTTAACTTTGTCTGCATCAGTGCCAGAGCTAGAGGAACCCAGGAGGATGCTGGGGAGTGTGGGTGGACAGACATTAACGTTAAAGCTGTAAAGTTCAGGCTGCAGGATGCTCTACTCAGGCCATGAAACAAGGGCAAGGTAGCCCCAGTACACTTGCCAAGAGTGGATCTCATCAGCGGAGAGTAGTTTTTGAGTTTGACAGCTCTGAGGCTTGGGCGGGTGGAGCAATTCTGACGCCACCTCCTGCCCTAAACTGTGTACCTGTGAAGGTCTACTCCATTCCCTCAGGTGATCCCTTCAACAGGGCAAGTCATGCTTAGGAGACCACGAGAAAACATATCTCAGTGCTGTGGCTGCTTCGTACATCCCACATGCCCGGGAGACACCCTGATCTGCAATCTACTGCAGAAGGTGCAAGCTGGTCGTCCTGTTCTTCTGAGAGGGCAGTGCTACAGAATGGGTGCCCAAGAGAAGGCTGCCCACAAAGGATAGCCTCACTAAAACCTACTAGGATGTCCAAACAGCAGGTGCAGGGCAGAAAAACAAAACAAAACAAAGCATGCCACGTGACTCCTCCAGAAGAACCTGTCTCCTCTGCTACTGACTAACAAATACGGAAACAGAAATGAATCCCGTGAAGGGTTTGAAAGTTTACTAATTGATCACAGACCTGAAAGAGGGCACAAACAAGCAGATCAGTTCCATCATGGACACAACAAAACAGAAAAATTCAAGTAAGGAAACCCATATTTGGGGGGGGGGGAGTGGAGAAACTCAATGGACCAGGAGGGGATTCTGTGATTGGGGTGTATTGTGGGAGCAAAGAATCTATTTTCAATAAAAACAAAGCAAAAACCTCAATGAACCAAATAAAAAACCACAATATTATACACCTGACTAAGTAGAAGAAATGGAAGAAATGGAAGATATACTTAAATATCAGCAACAGGAAGAAACATTTCAATGTCACCCAAGAGTTCTTGCCACATCGTCAACGGGCTAATTTAAAACAGTCAAGTATATAACAGAGGCACTAAGATACAAACCTAAGACATAGAAAATCGATTCAGTTAAATTACGGCAGAAAAATCGCCAAACTCGGGGAAAGAAATGACACCTTTGTAAACAAAGAAATACTGACAAGCCATTTAACAAGGCCATTCAGGAAGAACCTTAAATAGGTATAACTAGAGAATCCCTTCCTATGGCATACTGCAAGTTAAGATGTCAACACTACAAAGCTAAGAACCATACTAGAGTCTGTAAGGGAAAACACCAGCTCACAAAGGTAAAAAATGAAAATAACATCTCTTATCAGCTCTCAATAAATCCAAAGGGGCATAATACAATCTATTTCCATAGTGCTTCAGTGACACTAGTGGCCTGCAATAATACCACCCTCAGGTAAGTAGACCACACCTTCTCCCCAAGCTCATCCCTGCTGTGGCTTTCTTTAGCACGGCTAAGGGACACCCAATCGGATGCATATGCCACACTTTCTCTAGCTGTTCATCTGTTCATGAGCATTAGGTTCCTCCCATAGCTTGACTATTCCGAATAATGCTGAAACATACTCAGAAAACTTACACAACTCCCTCCGGATTCCTGTTTTCAGCCTGTGCTCAGGAGGGATGACCGGGTCACGTGACAGCTCTAGCTCCAAGCTTTTCAGTAGTCTGTTTTACATAACAGTTTCATTTTTTTTTTTCAGTTTCATTTTTTTTTAAACCATTCAATTTTTATTTTACACTCTCCCGTTCTTTGACAGCAACTATTCTAACAGGTGTGAAGAGATTGGTTTGCGTTTCCCGGGTGATTTGCTGTGCTGAATGGCACAAATGCCTGTTCACTTGTTATCTTTAGAGAAATGATTATTCAGGTTCTTTGCACCTCTCTAAAAATCTGCGGTGGTTCTGGTTATTGAGGCTGTCTTCTGTACAGATATAAATCCTTTATCTGGCATGTTTTTAAACTCTTCCCGCATCGCTAAGATGTGCTCCCCCCACTTGTGCTCTGTGCGGGGCACGGCACTCAAGTCTGATGTCTGTCACCTGTGTCTGTTTGCTCATGACGCTGGTGCCACAGTGAGAAACCACTGTTTACTCAATGCCATGAAACTTTCAGGTTTCAATGCGTTTTATCATTCCAGGGATAATTTCATATTTATACTTTTCTATATTTACTCCGTGTGTGCTGCTATAATAACATTGCTCCTGCTCTGGAGGGTGAAGTCTAGGATCAATGCTCGCACTGGATCTAAGGAGGAGGGCAGGCCAGGCTCTCTGCTCTGCTGCTCACACAGTGCTTAGATGCTATGCTAGACAGACAGAGCAGTGTCTCCTCAGAATGGAAACAGAAGGCAAAAGGGAAAAGAAAACAACCCTAGTAACACTGAGAGACTTTCACCTTGTCATCAACAAAATTTTTAACTTACTATAGCTATCAGTCTGAAAATGTAAGTCCCAAATCACACCTAAATATCATGTCAATCCCATGAATCAAAATCAAGGTTCAACTCATCACAAGGCAGACTGAGCTTAGAGAGATGCTTCTACATATTCAGGTTGTCAAGCCTGTGGCAGACATTCCTATGTAAATACACATGGAGACTTATTACTTATAAATGGCCAGTCTTAGCTTGGCTTATTTCTATCGAGATTTTTCTAACTTAAATTATCCTGCCTATCTCTTGCCTCTGAGCTTTTATCATTATCCT